GAGACACGTCTATGTTTCCTGCACTGAAAAATTTGAACATATGATAACGAAGTCTGCTGTGCTCTGTCCTAAGTTTAATTATAATGCTCTCCCTCTCTTGAAAGGCGATTAAGCAAGTCTTGAGAAAATTGTGTACATGTATCCAGCCAACTTTCTTGGATAGTAGACTGTATTAAAGTCTTGTCTCTAAGGATGTCAGTACGTTTTTCCTTAAGGGTTATGATTTTCTGAAAAACTTTCCATAGCATTCCAGCTCCAAAGCCCCTATATTCTTTCCTGATGACTGTGAGATAACTCAGGACTCACATCCACATATTGCCACATTATGTTAGTAAACAAAAAGTAAAAAGGGCTTTTTTCCATGCCTTTAGGTGTATTGGGCATATAGGGCTAGACCTACATCTTATAGACCAGTCGGCACTTGGCGGATGATGTGGTCAGCATCACGCCGCACACCTTTACTTCTCATGACTGCACCTGGTACCCACTCAAGGCTGGGTCGACCTGGGGCCACATTATGTACTGAGATATAAAATATGTTACCATGCAAAATAAAGACAGCTAAATGAAATGCGTGAAAGTAAAGGACCCTCTTCCAGGCCTTCAAGCATATGGAGCATATAAAGCTAGACCTACATTTTATAGACCAGTCAGCACTCAGTGTGTCATGTGGTCATTCATTACACTGGCCACCTTTACTTCCCAGGTTTATACCTGGTTCCGACTCAAGATTGGGCCAAGGTCATTTTTGAAAAGAAAAAAAAAGTATGGTTCTGTCAGGACCCAAACCAGTGACCTTCCAGTCCGCAGTTGAGCATTTAGCCGCTACAGCACGGCGGTTCCCACATGTATGAGAGTGTTAAGAAGTGTCTTGCCAACTGGCGTGGGTGATCATGCATCTTGAACAACATATATCGGATCATGTGCTGACACCCTTCCATGCAGTGACAAAAGGCTATCATCTCATCTACCTCTATCTCTTTTGCTACAGATTTGTAACCAAAAAAGGAAAGGACCCTTCTCCATGCCTTTAGGTGTATTGGGCATTAAGGGATAGGACCTGCATTTTTATACACCAGTCGGCACAGTGGATAATGTGCTCAGTATCACATCGGCCACTTTTACTTCCTAGGACTGTACCTGGTACCCATTTAAGGCTGGGTCGACATTTTCAGATACTTTCCAGTAATTTAAAATGTTCCAGTTTTCCTCTTTTCATGACTTGACGAAAGAGTGACTGTCTGCAGCTGATGTTTGTGATGTTTTTGATCTATCACTGCTTTCACCTATCACCTCTGCTATTTTTAGCTGTCCAAGGAATTCTAAGAATTCTTCTGTAAAACCACATCTCTGAGGCCTCAAGAAATTATTTTGCTTGACTTGCAGCTACTGTGCATGCTAGGTGATTTTTTTCTTCTTCTGCATTTATTCTAAGGCCTAGTAAGTCAGCAGACAGCCAACATATCTTTCAAGAGGATATGCAGTAAATATTAACGGAGACAAAAAGAGAACAAATCAAATGTACAAAAAGCTTAAATGTTGTATGTCAAATGTATGGTGGCCATCTTTTAAACTGGCATTTTGTCGTTCTTCAGTTTTCTGCTCCGTTTTGTCACATGCTTAACACCCTTGACATCCTTAAGACCAGTATCAAGAAGTTACAAGACAATGACCTAGTTAGTTTAATTTCTGTCGCGCTTGTAAGGTTTTTTTTTGGGGAAGGGGGGGGGGGGGAGCTTCCATATTAGATCTCTGAAACTGTATCCCAGTATTGTATTTTTTTGGCTAGTCGTAAAACTTTTAAATAGTTCCATTACATGTTTATCTGTCCTTCCCGTCAATTCCGCCTATGTCTGCATTGATAAATCTGTGTGTGTATTTCATCAGACAGTTACTATCGGAATGAATTAGAATTCTTTGCTTGCTGCTGAAGATGGGGGGACGGGGCTCGCTTACGGGAGTGTCCCGAGTGCTATGTCAATTCTACATTCAATATTCTGTATATGAAATGCCCAGCATCCTCTCTTTGTATTCTTCTTGTCTCTACCCCCCCCCCCCCCCCCCCCACAGCATCCATCCGTTATCACGATGTATCCAGTGTTGCTCTTTTCTCAACGTATGCCCCCCCCCCCTTTTTTTCATTTCCTGGCGTGGCTAAAGAGTTATGAGGGATTTTAGTCAGTTTTTTTTTTTTTTTTTTTGGGGGGGGGGGGGGGGGTCAAGTAATTTCTTTCGGTTCTTTATTTTACTCTTGTCTTGTGACTATAATGTTCTTATCATCTGTCTATAAAACGGATTGTCTGGATTTAAAAAAAAAAATTCGCAGCGTAATAGTCACCTGGAACAACACATGATGATGATATAACACGAACGGTATAATGGGTTTTAATGTTAATAATGCGGGCACAAACAGTACGCTTGCACAGGGGGTTTCCCCAATGAAGCATATTTCACCACCACGCCGCAGTTTATATTTAGACCCGAGCGATGTGTACGGAAATGCGGCCACGTCGAATGGTGTTAGTCCCCGGTACAAGTAGGTCATTAATTCCCGTGTGCTCGCGTTAACAGAGCCACGTTGGGAAGTGGCCTAAGCTGGGTACCCCTTTTGATTGGTAGTAAACGCTACTGCTAATGCACATTGTTTTGTATCGTTTTATCATTTACTGGTGATTATACGGCTATGTTGTTTGGCGTCAATCCCCGTTAAAAGTAGGTCATTAATTTCCATGTGTGTGCAGTAAATAACACAGCCACGTTGAACGGTGTATCAATACTACTTCCGTGGGCACATTTTATATCTGTGGACGATATTATTACAATCGTACACTTTGTTTTGTGTCATCAAGCCCTCGCTGGTCGTGTTGGTTTTTTTTTTAAATCTGTACAAGATGTCCTCCCCATACATACATTTGTCTAACGAGTTCCGTGTTGGCCTGATTTGACTATTTTGACTGAAGCGAAAACCGGTCTAGTACACAATATCAGTGTGGTGTGACTGATGACTGTGTCAGTGTCCTACTATTTAGTCGTGTAAACGCAAAAAAACTTTCACCGCACCTTGAGTTTTGGCTTGTCTTGTGTATATGGTGCTGACCCCGCCCTCTGTTTTATAGATTGATTGGTTTATGGAACAGATTCTGTTCAATCCTATGAAAAAGTAAATTGATGCACTACTCAAGGGTTACCAACCCCAGGGTGGACGGGTTCCTGTACAGTTACAAAGCATTTATGTAAAGGGATGCATGGAAAAGAAGATCACGTAGTGTTTTAGAATGTTGAAATTAATAAATTACATAAGGAATTTAGTAATTAGCTACCTTATATTTATGTAGTCCCTCCTGCCTGAGCATAAACTCTCTATTACATATTTCTTCATAGAAGTAGGTTATGATTACTTCTTCATGTTCACCATTTGTAAACTCTGGGGGAAAGTTCTTGTTGTTTGTCTATTACTGGACTGCAGTCCTGTTCCAGAACTTGAGTTTTGTGTGTGCATCTGTTTGACAGATCTGACTAATTTGTATGCAGACTGTTGCTTCCTTGCCTCTCAGACAGATGCACTTGACTTTGAAGGAAGCTCCCAATTAGTCTACTCTTACGACATGCTTTTGGATAGGCTGTGGGTCTATTCTTGTTTTCCCTATAAGAGGGCCCCGGAACCAACACAGGGAAGGTAAAAATTAAATCTGACAATATTCGGTGGAAACAACAATTTCTCTACCACATAGCATACCGTATGTTGACTGGCTTCTGCAAACATCACAGAATGTTCTCTCTTGGTACCCTATGGTACGATATCCCTGGCTCAGACTGAGTTAGAAAACAAGTTTCAGGAATTCAGCTGCAGCTTCTGTTGAGAAAAGAGCAACACTGGATACATCGTGATAACGGATGGATGCTGGGGGGGGGGGGGGGGGGGGGGTAGAGACAAGAAGAATATAAAGAGAGGATGCTGGGCATTTCATATACAGAATATTGAATGTAGAATCGACATAGCACTCGGGACACTCCCGTAAGCGAGCCCCATCTTCAGCAGCAAGCAAAGAATTCTCATTCATTCCGATAGTAACTGTCTGATGAAATACACACACAGATTTATCAATGCAGACATAGGTGGAATTGACGGGAAGCAGTACAGGACAGACAAACATGTCATGGAACTATTTAAACGTTTTACGACTAGCCAAAAGAATACAATACTGACATACAAGTGCGACAGAAATTACACTAACTAGGTTATTGTCTTGTAACTTCTTGATACTGGTCTTAAGGATGTCAAGAGTGTTAAGCATGTGACAAAACGGAGCAGAAAACTGTAGAATGACAAAATGCCAGTTTAAAAGGTGGCCACCATACATTTGACATACACCATTTAAGCTTTTTGTCCAGTACATTTGATTTGTTCTCTTTTTGTCTCCGTTAATAGTTCTGCTATAATTTTTTCCAATCCGTCGTTTCACTTGAAATGACTAAAATATTGTAGCTTCCGAGACAGGATGCTGTTTATTAGCCAATCTTCCTTGATGTTCAGATCTTTCAAGATGTCAGTATTTCTCCTCTTCTTTGTCCAAGATATTCTGAGAATCTTTCTGTAGCTTTTCAGCTCAAAAGATCCTATTCTCTTTTTTTAAGGACTGGGAGATAGTCCACAACTCACATCCATAAGTTGTAACAGGGAAGCTGCATGCTGTCAAAATTCAAAGTTTGATCTCCTTGCTGGTGCTTAACCATAGACTTTTTAGGCTGTTTAATCTTTGTATTGCTATGGCCATCCTCCTTTTAATTAAAGACAGTAGTGACAGTTTTGTTTCATCCAAGTTATGTACATTATTTTGAGTGTAGCATCAAATGCTTGATGCACCAATGGTATAAAAAGGCACCTTTGCTTTTCTTGCTTATTTATATACATTACTGCTCATTGAAATGTACTATTTATTGTGGGCCTAGTCAGATGGCTGAACCATTTCATCTGTTCTTTTGACTTTTTTTTTTTAAAGAGCAAAATCAATGCTGAGGAGAAAACACTAAACAAGATAAAAAAGGAATACAAACAGGCGTGTGGCAAAGACTGGCAGCCAACAGCAGTAGCTGAATCAGGAAGCACTACATCAGCAGCATCCTCTGTTGCCATGCCAGCGGGCAAAGACAGTGCGGAGGCCACATCTCTAAAGGTCAAGATCGATGAGCAGGGAGAGAAGGTCCGGCAGCTGAAAACCTCTGGGGCTGACAAGGTAGGATTAACAGTTGTTGCTGTTCATTTGTCCATGTCATTGGAAATTTCAGTGTAAATTTGAGTGTGCATTCAAGCTGATTTAAAGAGGTACTAAATACCATGCAAACTGTGAATGTGGTCACTAATGTACTTCTTGATATCAGGGTGATTGCAGTAATTTTTACATCATGATATGTTCAGCTATGGCCATTCCTTTATTCTTCTTGATATCAGCTGAGCTACAGTCACTCCTTTTCACTTTTTGATATCAGCTCAACTAGAGTCACTCCTTTCTACTTCTTGATATCAGCTCAACTAGAGTCACTCCTTTCTACTTCTTGATATCAGCTTGACTGCAGTGACTCATATTTACAAGTCTGCTATTTAGTACATTTCACTGTGCTTTTTGCAGTTGCCAGTATCTATCTGGCAGTCTACTTATCAACTCCTGATTTGTTTCTTGTTCCTTTGAAATATGATATAGTGTCACTTTTTTTGGCTCTGGGTGTTAATTCTAGCTCTTTAGTTATTTAATTTACTTTGTTGTTTTAACTGTTCACTTAAATTGTTATTTAAGTGGTTCACATGAAAGTGTTTCCACTTCCTTGTACTTGTAAACTGTTCATGTTTGGCATGCATTGAACAGTGCTGGTAGAACTGTTGCTATGTACATGTCTAGCCTTGTCTACAAGGGCATGCTACTTATTTTCTCACTCATTATTTCACCCTCAGGCTGTGGTGGATGCAGAAGTTCAGAAGCTACTCCAGTTGAAGGGACAGTATAAGAATCTTACTGGTGAAGATTTGGCTGGTGCTGCGAAGAAAGGTGGCAGAGATGATAAAAAAGATAAGAAGGACAATAAGAAAGCAGCCAAGGAAAGTAAGAAAGCAGGGTCTGATAAGAAAGATGGTGCAGGAGACAAGGAAGATGGGAAAAGGGAGGTGAAGAAAGTTACAAGGTGAGTACTGTTTAATTTTAGTTGCTTAATTTGAAGAAGCATCAAAGTGAGCTAATTTATGTTTTGGTTGACAGAATCCTCTTAGTGTGGCTGCTACATCAGAGGGCTTGTGCACTCATGGGCACAATCAGGGGTGATAAGTGTGGCTGCTACATCAGAGGGCTTGTGCACACATGGGCACAATCAGGGGTGATAAGTGTGGCTGCTACATCAAAGGGCTTGTGTACACATGGGCACAATCAGGGGTGATAAGTGTGGCTGCTACATCAGAGGGCTTGTGCACTCATGGGAACAATCAGGGGTGATAAATGTGGCTGCTACATCAGAGGGCTTGAGCACACATGAGAATGCCTAATGTCCAGTGGTCTGTTTGTGACAGTATACATGAAGGTTGATGACTGAGATGTTGGGACACTATATTAACATATTGTGTGGCACATGTTCTAACCCTCAGTTGATTGATGAGTTAGTTAGTTTTCTGACTAAAATGTTTAATTGTTTACTTTTATACGCTAGTATTCAGTTTGGCTGAGCCTCAAAAGGACTTGCATCTGTCAGAGTAAGGTTGACATAGTACTTTTCCTCCTGACCTGGTCCCAGAGTACCCTCTGCAAGAACTTTTGCATAGCTCCCCTTTCTTTTGCCAGTTTCTCTGCCCCATGTACTTTCATACCTTAGTTGTCTTCTGTATCTCGTGACCATCTTCATGCTGGCCTTTTCTTCCAGGAGCAAGACTTTCCATCACTCTTCTTTCTATCGGTCGCTCGACCAGTTTGTCTACTCCAGGCAGCTTCCTAAAGGTTGACCATACCATCCTAAGATTTTAAAAATGTGTTTCAATGTTAGACTAGCAAGGCAGATCCGAGGTACCCCATTCAACCTCTAAAGAAGTTATAATTAGGGTATCCCCAGCAGCTACACAAACCAGGTGTCACCTGCTGTCTTCAGCGGCTAAGGCCTCTGTTCTTTCTATGCCAGTGTAGCATTTTATTTGTATTTTAGTTTCCAAGAAAATATGTGCTGTTTAATAGCTGCTCACATCTAGTATTTCAGTTCTTGATCCGTGGTATTCTGATAATTTGTTTCGGTGATATTTTAGTTCAAAATCCCTGATTCTCTATTTTAGTGTCCCTCTATTGTCACAGGAAAGGTGCCTATTCCTAGATTTTGAACTTTAGTTAGTATGGAACAGCTCTCTTGAGGATTTCCCTCCATGTCATCTTTTCAGCCCATCCAGCATCAGCCTCTACCCATTTTTCCACTGATCTTTTCAGTTGTTACGATGTTCTCCAATGTCTCTCTTCTCATTAATGTGGTCAAAGAACAGTGTTTGTCTCATGTAAATATTTCTTTCGTTAAAATATCCTCCTTCCCCCCTCTTCCAGGCTTGGTCTTGAAGCAACAAAAGAAGAAAACCTGCCTGACTGGTACTCCCAGATACTCACCAAGTCAGAGCTGATTGAGTACTATGATGTCAGTGGGTGCTACATCCTTCGTCCCTGGGCATACGCCATCTGGGAGACCATCAAAGAGCAGTTTGACACAGCAATAAAGAAGATGGGCGTTGAAAACTGCTACTTCCCAATGTTTGTCTCACGGAGTGCCTTGGAAAAGGAGAAGACTCATATAGCTGACTTTGCTCCAGAGGTAGGTTTCCTGTTGCAACGCAGTGTTTCCCTGTTGTCAATTTGAACAAAGAAGACACAAACAGTAGACACACAGCTTATTGCCTGGTATATTTCACCCTATCTTTTCATGTCTTTACCACATTAACAATTGAAATACAGTGAAGATAATACATGAATATGTTAAACTAATTTACAGAATCAACCACTCTCAAAAGAAACTATTTTTTGCCAGAGCAAGCACAGGTTCACGACCATATCTTTTTGTTTGCAAAATCTGGGCAGAAATAGTTAATTTAGAACTGCCATTGGTCAAAGTATACAGAATTTGAAATGTGTAATCCTTGTTTACAAAGGGACTAGAGTTCAGTATGTGCTGCACAGTGAAGGAGGGGTAGTCTTTTCAAATGGTCACCTGAGGAGTGTTCATAAAATTATTTTTATTGTGTTTCAGTTCTTATTTTTATTTGTATTTTGCACTGCTTTTTCCATTAAAATGCTGTGCTGCTCATTTCTCAAATCGTCATTCAGTTCGGCCGGCATAAGCAGCTTCACAGCTGCTCATGTTCTGTTTCACCAAGTAATTCCTTTTGCTGTCATGTATGATTCTGTATATTTCAGTTCTTCATCTAATGGTCACAGTAATCATGTGCCATGCTATAAAACTGATGGTCATGGTTTTCATTCTTTCATGATCACCAGTCTTGCTATTTATGTATTCCAGGAGTGTTTTGTAGTGTTTCATCTCAATAATTTGTTATTGCCATCCCACTGAGGTGAATTACTTATCTGACAGTTGTTATAATCCTGGTATGTTATTCTTTGAGGTTAATGTGTTATTTGCTAAAATTTAATACTTTATCTAAGAAAATATGAGTATTTCTCCTCCTCTTTTTTCATCCTTCTTTTTCCTTCTACTTCCATATTTTTCTTCTCCTTATGCTTTCCCTCCTTTTTTAAATTAGTAAACAGGTTCTTCTTTTCTTCTTCTTCTGTCTCTTATTTTTGTCATTAAATGGGCTTAAGGGCTCAACCAGCTCCTTTCCATAGACTCTTGCAATCCCTTATATGCATTTCCTGCTTTGCTCACCACTGTCTGTAATACTTGTGACACATTTTAATCTACCTACACATAACATAATGGGTTCTGTTACCATAGGTTGCCTGGGTTACCAGATCAGGACAGTCTGAACTAGCAGAACCCATTGCTGTCCGTCCCACCAGTGAGACTGTCATGTACCCTGCATTTGCCAAATGGATCAAGTCACACAGGGATCTTCCGCTTAGACTCAACCAGTGGTGTAATGTTGTGGTATGTTGCCAACTTGTTTTACGGTTATTTTGTGTGTGTTGTCACGGCCAGCTCCAGATATAAGGCCGTACAGCTCAAATGGAAATTCCCGTTGGCATTGCCGGTCGGTGGTAACAATTGTTATCGAGTAGATTTATACACAAATTGAACTACAGTTTAACTAATTTGCAACATGTGTCATTGAATGAATTATTATTTTGAAGATAAATAAATAGGCTATTAGAAAATATATTTTTTTTTGGTCATATGAAGATTGCTTATGACATCATATGTAGATTGCTTCCAGTAATATTTATGATATTATCATTCATAAACTGATTCAAGAACTGTATTACTAATCAAAGGTTGTTTGCACTTTATGACATCAATACGCAAAGATTGTTTCCATTAATGTATTACACAATTATTATTCCAGTAATTTGTTTCATAAGAAGATTGCTGCAGGTGATATTTATGGCATCATGTAAATGTTGTTTCCTATAATTTTGTGACATCAAGCAGAGATTGGTTCCAGTAATTTTGTGAAATCATCAAACAGAGATTGGTTCCAGTAATTTTGTGACATTATCATGTAATCCAATCCTGTAATGGAATGCAATTAAAAAAACACAAATTTTTGAAGTCCAGCCCCGGCTGTTGTTTTGGGAGCCCTAATATAAGCTAACAGTTGAATGAGGTTTTTGGGACTTGCGTTTGGGGATTCTCATCAGATTGGTAGCACTTTGTGTCACCCGGTGTTGATCATTTGTTGTGCCATCCTGGTGGGATGGGAAATCACTCACTTACATTTCCTGCATAAATTGTCTCAAGTGGTGTTTGTGACATATTTTTGTGTGAGGAGCATCTTTGAATATATGTAAATAATTTGATACTTTTTCCTAAGAAAGCAAGGGCAGTATTAATTAAACTTTATTGAACATAATGGCAATTTTTGGTAAAGACTATCTGTATTTTTCAGAGGTGGGAGTTCAAACATCCACAGCCATTTTTGAGAACAAGAGAATTTTTGTGGCAGGAGGGGCATACTGCTTGGGCAGACCAGCCTTCAGCTGAGAAAGAGGTATGAGATAACAAGTCTTTGAGCTTTCACCTCTTTCAAAATATCTGGGTTGCTCTTTTTGGCTGTCCAAGGAATTCTAATTCTTTTATGTAACCACATCCCTATGGCTTCAAGAAATTGTTTGGCTTGTTGATTATTTGTTCATGTTTCACAGCCATAAACAAAGTGTCTGCATGCTAATAATGACAGTCACTTTGAGCATATTTGATAAATATGAAAGTGAAAATGTTTTCACCCTTTGATGCTGGTATAAATTTAATTGCAATTTTTGAGGCAGCAAGCATTGCAATTTAACACAGTTTTTGACACATCAGAGTCTACCAAAGCAAGTGTAATTAGAACTATGGTTTTGTCAGCTCTGTTTTACCAGTGCCAAACATGGATCCTTACTACAGCTAATTAGCTCAAAATCATAGCAATGGAGGTGAGATGTTTTACAAGAGATGCTAAGTAGCAAGAAGAGATCACATTTAAAGTTAAGTAACAAGAAAAACATGGTAATTAGTCATACAATTCATTAAAGGACAGCTGACAAGAATGCCTTGAATACCAGCTGCCACTGACAACCATGCTGAAGAAATATAAAGAACATAGAGCAAGGAGAAGATTACACAAATACGGAATGATAGCATGAAGAGCAGCCTGAAGACCAACATATACAGTGCATTCATATACCCATGTGGGTTCCGGGGCCCTATTATAGGGAAAACAAGAATAGACCCACTGCCTACCCAAAAGCATGTCGTAAGAGTCGACTAATTAGGAACTTCCTTCGAAGTCGGAGTGCATCTGCCTGAGAGGCAAGGAACCAGCAGTCTGCATGCCAATGAGTCAGATCTGTAAAACGGATGCACATGCAACACTCAGGTTCTGGAACAGGACTGTAGCCCTGAAGTGGACAAACAACCAGAACTTTCCGCCAGAGTCTACAGCTGGTGAAGGCGAAGAAGAAGAAGAAGAGTAGTCTGGTAGTAGTAGTTGGCTCCTGTGCCAACGAAAAACACTCAAAATGTTTATCAGTCCCTTGTGGAAAGATTGACAGACTGCTGTCTCAGCATATCTAGCATACACTCGCATTAAAGCATACGGTAGCCATCCGAAGTGCTAGCACAAACAGTCCAACATTAGAAATGCAGTTCATCATTGATGATAGCAGAACTTGTCACCAACAGATCAGCAGTTGCCCATGCGATCAATTGTAATCACATACGGGCACCGCCAACATTGTACGACCGGCATCACGCCATTTTCTGAATCTACAGTTCACACCACCACCTTGGTCATAGTCTAAAATACATTCCAAATGCAATCCGCAGCTGACAGGATCACGCCATGCATTCAACTCAGAAGCTGGGCGACGAAACTATATCCAGTCTACAAATGGAGCAAAAATACTTCGGCCACCGTCCGGCAGAAGCAAAAAATTTGCCTCTGCTTCGAACAGTGCCGCTGTCTAGCGTCCATTTTAAAGAAAGAGTGCATTCAAAAAAGAACACAGATCTTTACATCCACAACACTGATTTAAGAATGGGCATAATAACACACCAGGCATACCATCGACATTCCATCTCTCACAGCAAATCTTTTATGGCATAGTTTTGCTGGCTGTTCCCATAGCACACTGATGAGATAACAGGAGGAGGGGAAGAAGAAGAGAGTGATTAAACAATGAGACAAGAGCAGGGTAGAACACTTCATGATGATATATTGCAGATGTGTCTTTTTAGAGGATGCTTGTATCTTCTGATCTACATTTGAACATAACTTTAGGTGTATGCAATCTTGGAAGAGTATGCTAGAGTGTATGAGGAGCTGCTTGCGATCCCAGTTGTGAGAGGTAGAAAGACAGAGAAAGAAAAGTTTGCTGGGGCCGACTTCACCACCACAGTTGAGGTCTACATCTCTGCCAGCGGTCGGGCCATCCAGGGAGGAACATCCCATCATTTAGGTAATATTGTTTATAAGTAAACAAAATTAAGCAACCATTTTCACACTTTGAGCCACATTTCCACGTGTGGGACTTAAAGCCTAATTTGGGGGGGGGGGGGGATCTATCAAGCATGTTGTAAAAAGCAACTAATTAAGGGTCTTTCCTCCGAAGTCAGGGCACAACTGCCTAGGAGATTGGGAACCAACAGTCTGCATACACATGAGCCAGATAGGTAAAATAGATATGCACACAGAATTCCAGTTCTGGAACAAGCCCAGAGTGGACAACCAGACAGAACTTTCTGCTGGAGTTTACAGCCAGTGAGCAGCGCGAAGAAAAAGAATCCAATCAACATAACATGACACAAAACTGTAAATCCTTATAACTTTAATATACAACAGACATAGCCCATGCTTCAGTATAATGTGATTGATTCTATACAGGATAACTGATGATGATAGAGAATTTATTGATTCCATCCAAGATAACTTGATGATAGTTAGGTATCCCTATTGGTTAGTCAATAGTTAATTGATTGGTTCCATCCAAGATAACTTGATGTTGATTAGTCCAGTCCCAGATTACATGATGATAATAGTAAGATGATTAATTTTATCCACACAAAAAACTTGATGAAAATTTTATTAAGAGGATAAGTTCCATCCAAGACAATTTGATGATTATAGATTGATGTTCTTTTTGAGCTAACTTGATAATGATAGTTACTTTTGTCTAGTTTACAAGGTCCTGTTTACATTTCCAGGTCCATCTACACACTACCTGACCTTTAATTTATACCTTCTCTGACTCTTCTACATCGGAGGGGTGTCACGTTGCCTTCCCTCCAATTACATCAGCGCCGATGTCACATATTCTATGCTACACGATGACACATCTTTCATTTACTCTAGAACTAGCCTTAATCCAAACCCCTCAACCTAGGCCACACGAGACTTTTTTTTAGGAAGGCAGTGCAACGTGGCACCCCACTGACCTAGATCAGACTGAGAAAGTGTGTAGATGTGCCTGGAAATGTGAACAGGTCTGTTTACTAACACCAGCAAATGTTGTTAAAAAGACAATAAATCCACCGAACTGTGACTAAGATTCTTCAAAACAGGTGGAAGGGAAACAGTATATATACAAGAAATATTGTACGTTTTAGCTGGAACCTTTCAAAGTAATAGGGTCGCGACTCATGGGTTAAGAACTACCTGGTAATTTCTGCTGCCCGGTGTCATGGACCACATGTAGACAGAAGAACGTAGATTTGAACCAGTAGTCTCCAACCTTTTTCAGGTGGTGCCCCTTGAATATGACAAGACCCCCACGCTCCCAGCCCCCACACCCCACCCCCAGATGTAATTAAATGGGTACAAACTACAACAGCAACAAACCCTGGCCACCTGTCCGGACTCAGGAGGGGGTCACGCAAATGACTATAAAATATCAGATGAGGAAAAGTAGAACAAAAAAAATGAATGAGTGAGTGCAGTCACGCATGTTTACATTGCTGTTTGAAATCATTGCTTTCCCATTTAAAAATGTAAGATTATGGAATTAAATTTGAGGACTGAACACTTTTGGGAGTGTCCCGAGTGCTGTGATGTCGATTCTTAACTCAACATTTAACATTTGTTTGCAGGTCAGAACTTCTCAAAGATGTTTGAAATTGTCTTTGAGGACCCAGACACTCAGCAGAAGCAGTACGTTTATCAGAACAGTTGGGGGCTGACCACTAGGACCATCGGCGTGCTGACCATGGTTCATGGAGACAACGTGGGCCTGGTGCTGCCACCTAGAGTAGCCTCAATTCAGGTAGGCTACATGCGTGTAAATTAGTTTCTTCTTGTTCTTCTTAGCACTCACCGGCTGTAAACTCTTTGGCAGAAAGTTCTGGTTGTTTTTGCACTTCTGGGCTCATTCTTGCTCACAACTTGAGTTTTGCCTGCAAATCCATTTTATAGATCAGGCTTATTTGTATGCAGACTGTTGATTCTTCACCTCTTAGGCAGATACACTCTGACTTCTAATTAGTAGCCTTTTAAGACATGCTTGTTATGGAGGGCAGTGGGTCTATTCTCCAAATGGGGCTTTGGAACCCATACAGGGAGTACATTTTTTTTCTGTATAGCGTCCTAAGTGGGGCTCTGCATCTGCAGTTTGATTTCTACGATAAGCGGTTTTTATGTTGTTCAGGCAGTGGCGTAAGTCACACAGTGGGAGATTGATATGTCACCAGGTCGAGTTTCCAAAGACAGCAGTGGATCCACACATCTGCTAAGATATCCTCCCCATTTTTTTTTAACTTCACTCTGTGTTGTTTGTCTGCCTTTATTTCTTTGACACTGTGGGTTCCACTGCAAAGACATCTAGTTATACAGGGTTATTAAAAATGATGAATACACTTTCATTCATGTATATTTCCTTGAGTATACATTAATACTAATAATATACATACAAGCGAGAGAGGAAGGTTTACAAGGAGTTTACAAACTTACAATAGAAGTTTTAGATGTTCAGAATGTTCGCCATCTGCTCAAGAGCGCAGAAAACCTTGTGCCTCGTGGTGGCCATCTTACTCGAAACTGAACGAAAGGGTCCTTGATGGCACGAGCATGTGCACTCAAGAGGTTAGTTTTGAAACTGCACTCTAACAATAGTATTCAAAACTCTAATCCCTTCCCCTATAGCTTTTATGTATATTATTAATATGTAATGTATATTCAAGGAAATACGCATGAATGAAAGTGTATCAATCATTTTGTATAAGCCTGCATTATTAGATTTCCCTATTGTGTCTTTTTGTAACTACAGATGGTCTTCTCAACTGACAGAACAGTTTTTTTGTTCTGATTAACAGGTTTTAAGTCAAGTTTATAGTTTTCAATATTAATTTTATTCAGACTGGTTATAATATTTTTACATAAAGCACAGCAATTCTGTCTGCATATGTATAATTATTGTACATAATGTGAAAAATACACAATATGTACTCAATTTTAAGAACTTTAAAATAAAAAAAACCTATCAGTAAAGTTATAGTTATCTTTCTTTCTTTACTTTTGCCTGTGTGCATGTTTGTAAGTCGCATAGATCGTACGTAAGTCGAGAAGAAGATGTATTTGATTCCCTTCTATCAGAGCCGCCTGCTTCAAATCAAAATGAGGATAATGACAATTGTGTTTCAGTGTGTGATAGTTCCCTGTGGCATCACATCTTCATTGTCAGAAAGTGATGCAAAGACTCTGTATGACAAATGTGCGGACCTGACATCAACACTGATCGATGCCAAGATTCGCTGCAAGTTTGACAGCCGAGAGAATTACTCACCTGGCTGGAAGTTCAACCACTGGGAGTTAAAGGTATGTGTTTGCAAATGTATCTTGTTGAAATTGAGGCAGCCTTCACTTTGTGTTCGTTATATGTTATAATGTCAAGTGCACGCTGATTGGTTCTACTTTTTGTTTGGTTTTATATCTTTTCCCGGCATGATGCTGACCACATCACCCATCTTGTGTCGATTGGTCTATAAAAATATAGGTCTAGCCCTATGTGCCCTGTACGCCTAAAGGCGTGGAAAGGGGACCTTTCCTTTTTTTTTTAACTATATCTTTCCATGATATTTGTAAAGCCTCACTAAAGATCACGAATTCCACATTTTTCATGTGTCCCACCCTCTGAAAACTGCTAATATCTGTTTGCACCTGTCTAACTCATCTCTACGGTATTTTTTCTTATCACCGTTTTAGGTGATTTTGTGTGTTCTTGTTCGTGAAATTGAGGCAACATTCACTTGTCGTTTGTGTTTGTTATAATGTCAAGCTGATTGGTTCTAATTTTTGTTTGGTTTTATGTCTTTCCATATTTTTATAACTTTACTGCAGTTCCTTAATTTCACCTACCTCGTGTGTCCCGCCCTCTTAGAACTGCTACTGTCTGTTTATATTATACATACAAATATATAAACATGCTAACTGATAATACAAAAATGAAGGTTTATGAGTCTTGTGTCCTGAGCACATTACTGTACGGCTGCGAATCCTGGACTCTCTATGCTCCACAGGAAAAAAGACTGAATACCTTCCATATGCGCTGTCTGAGACGCATCCTTGGTATATTATGGCAAGACCTTGTCTCCAACGAATGTGTGCTCACAAGAGCAAAATACCATCAATGTATTGTATACTGAAGCAAAGACGTCTGCGCTGGCTGGGACATGTCTCCCGCATGGAGGATGGTCGTATTCCAAAAGATCTCCTATATGGTGAATTGGTAACTGGGAATAGACCTACAAAGCTGTGCTATAAAGATGTATGCAAATGTGACCTAATAGATAGCAACATAGGCACAGAGTCATGGGAAAAATCAGCTGCAGATCGACTACTATGGAGACAAAAAGTGAAAGACGGACTGTCACATTTTGAAAGAAACCGAACACAGCGATCTGTGGAGAGGAGACACAGGAGAGTAAAACTGCCTCACAACGAGGAAGTATCTGCTTTTGTGTGTATCCTGTGTGGCAAAGGCTCCTTTTCCCGCATCGGACTTTACAGTCACAGCAGATGCTGTTCCCAAAGCAAGCGGCACATCTCCATAGTCCCCCGGGACTGACGGATGCCATTATATTAGATTATATATATATATACGCAGACACACATATATGTATACATACACACACACACATATATGTATACACACACATATATGTATACACACACATGCACATATATGTATATATATAATAAATAGACAATTATATATTGATCAGCACTCATAGAAAAAAGCAGAAAGATGGAAGGACACGCTAGACAACATAAAAATCGAAAGCTATAATTACCGTACCAGGAATCGAACCTGCCACCTCCAAATGGTGTGTTTGCCTCACTATGGAAACAAGTGTACTAAAAACATGACTAACTATGCACTCTTAGTAAAGGGTGTCTTCATTGGCCATGTCTGTCTCACAGCCTGAAATCCATAACTATGGCCCATCTGACTCATCTGTACTATTTTTGTTTTCTCATTACCGTTTTAAGTGATTTTGTGAATTCTTGTTTGTGTGTGTGGTACTTATGTTTATGTAATGTGCTGATAAAGGCTCTCTGGTCACAGCATTCACTTGTCATTTGTGTTAGTCATATTGGGAAGCTTGTTGGTTCTGCTTTTCATTTAGTTTGATATCTTTTCATGATATTGCTGGAATTGTGTTCTTTAGAATGAGTTATCTTCACTTGAGTATACTTCTTCTTCCGTTTACCGTCTGTAAACTTTGGCGAAAAGCTCTAGTTGTTTATCCGCCCCTGGGCTTGAGCCTTGTTCCAGAACCAGAGTGTTGCATCCACATCTGGTTTACAGATCTGACTTATTTTTATGCAGAACTGTTAGTTCCTTGCCTCTCAGGCAGATGCACTCTGATTTCAAAGGAAACCCCTAATTAGTCAACTCTTATAACATGCTTGTTGGGGAGGCAGTGGGTCTATTCTGGTTTACCCCACAGTGGGGCTCCGGAACCCTACAGGAAAAGTTGAGTATTGACCTGTTTAAACCACTCACAAGGTTAAGAACCGAATGTTCTTGAAATTATGTTCTTTAGGAGAATTTAAGTTATTGTGCTGTTCAGACACTGTTAGGGTTAGGAGGAGAGTTAAATTCATATTCTTGATTTTGTGTTGTTTAGAATAAGTGGAAGGTAAATTCTTAAAATGTGGACATAGTTGAAGAAAAATGTCATCATCCTGCATGGCCTGAAAATCAAGGAGAACTGGCTCATAAACAGCATCCTTCCATGAAAGCAGAGGTATTTTGGACATGTCAGGTTGGAGGGTACAGTTTCTGGATAATGAGGCTGAGAGTGAAGGTGGACTTTCAGGCACGCCGTGAAAGGGTGAAGGTGGACTTTCAGGCGTTTCGTGAAAGGGTGAAGGTGGACTTTCAGGCATGTCATGAAAGGGTAAAGGTGGACTTTCAGGCATGTCATGAAAGGGTGAAGGTGGACTTTCAGGCATGTCGTGAAAGGGTGAAGGTGGACTTTCAGGCATGTCGTGAAAGGGTGAAGATGGACTTTCAGGCGTGTCGTGAAAGGGTGAAGGTGGACTTTCAGGGGTGTCGTGAAAGGGTGAAGATGGACTTTCAGGCGTGTCGTGAAAGGGTGAAGGTGGACTTTCAGGCGTTTCGTGAAAGGGTGAAGGTGGACTTTCAGGCATGTCGTGAAAGGGTGAAGGTGGACTTTCAGGCATGTCGTGAAAGGGTGAAGGTGGACTTTCAGGCGTGTCGTGAAAGGGTGAAGATGGACTTTCAGGCGTGTCGTGAAAGGGTGAAGGTGGACTTTCAGGCGTGTCGTGCAAGGGTGAAGGTGGACTTTTAGGCACGCTGTGAAAGGGTGAAGATGGACTTTCAGGCGTGTCGTGAAAGGGTGAAGGTGGACTTTCAGGCGTGTGGGGAAAGGGTGAAGGTGGACTTTCAGGCACGCCGTGAAAGGGTGAAAATGGACTTTCAGGCGTGTCGTGAAAGGGTGAAGGTGGACTTTCAGTCGTGTCGTGAAAGGGTGAAGGTGGACTTTCAGGCGTGTCGTGAAGTTGGACTTTCAGGCGTGTCGTGAAAGGGTGAAGATGGACTTTCAGGCGTGTCGTGAAAGGGTGAAGGTGGACTTTCAGGCGTGCCATGAAAGGGTGAAGATGGACTTCCAGGCGTGTCGTGAAAAGGTGAAGATGGACTTTCAGGCATGACGTGAAAGGCAGATGGCAAAGGTGGAATTTCAGGCACGCCGTGAAAGCATATCAGTAAAACAGATGCACACACAACACTCAGGTTCTGGAAAAAGACTAAAAGTCCAGAAGTGGATGAACAACTAGAATATTCTGCAGGAGTTTACAGCTGGTAAACGTGAAGAAGAAGAAATCAGGCTGTCTGTTTAGGTTGGGGGACCCCTTTTTTGGAAGGGGAGGGGGGGTATTGTGCGGATATGGAATGATGGTATCAAGAACAACCTGAAAAAATGTATGTCATAAAAGCCTACTAATTAGTAGTGTTTCCTTCAGAGTTGCGATGCGTCATCCTGAGTGGTGATTCTGCACAGAAATAAGCAAGATCTGTGAAAAGGATGTGCAGGCGAAACTCAAGTTTTGAAACAGGACTAAAGTACATAAGTGGGTGAATAATCAGAACTTTCTGCCGGAGTTTACAGATGGAAATGCTCAGATACACCGGAAGATGAAGAAGAAATCAGGCAGAGAGAATTTAGACAGATAGAATTTAGAGTTGAAACCACTCAGAAAGAATATGGCGTTGAAATCAGTGAGAAATAGAAGCCCAAACCAGTATAACAAAAGCTGAATTGTGTTTATAATGTTATGAATGTATAAATATGGTTTCACTCTGTAGGGAGTTCCAGTCAGAGTAGAACTTGGGCCCAGAGACTTACAACAAAACCAGGTTGTTGCCGTGAGGAGAGACAACGGCGAGAAGAGCACCATCCCTATGAAAGATCTTGTGGAGTCTCTGAAGACATTACTGGAGGACATCCAGAACAGCCTGTTCAACAAGTATGTATCTGTTTCTTCTTCTTCTTCTTCTTTTTCTTCTTCTTGTCTCAACTTCTGGAATGCCTTGCTGCGTCAGGGGAGGAAGAAATCTCTAGAACGGGCCTTTCTGTTCGTTTCGTATATAGTACTTTTCAGTGTCTCTAATATTAATGCGGTCCATCTTCTGTGGGGTCGACCTTTGGGTTTGTTACTCTGTGGTACCCTGTCTGCTGATAAATCTGGTTACAAGGCCAAACCATTTGATTTGTTGTCTGCCTATTCTTCTCCTGATATCATCGTTCCTAAGTTGATCTTTCCTTTTTACATCTAGCATAATACGTAAACATTTCATTTCTGTTGTGACTATTTTCTTTCTGTCTTCTGAAGGCAGTGTCCATGTTTGGCATTGATAGCAGAGCATTGGTAAGAATATCACTTGCATAATTGTGGGTGGCATGTACATCTCTGTGGGTGTGAATGCTGGGCAGTGTCATGAATCTCAACATTCCATTTAAGCACATTAGCTATTTGGTACTAGCCCTTCAATTATATAGACAAATCGTCATTCACTAGCTAATGTGGTCAACATCTCGTTGGCTGCATTTACTTTCCCAGAACACATCCAGGCATCCATTTTAAGATGTTGGCCAGAACTGAAAGTTTAAAAAAAAAAACAGCTTGAAGCGCAAGGCATACCAAGAAGACTGGAGAGGTTACAGCAAATGGGTCTTGCTAACTGCTGCATGTGGTTATGGATCACCAAAGCAAACTTCAGAGCACATTTTGCAGTCTTACTGAGTTTGCCAGTCAGAAGGAATTTGGCCCAAAGAAATGCCCCTACAAGAACAACTATGGGACACTAGTGAAGACCTCAACGCACTGTCCTGGTTATGACACATACATGCATAGCAAACATTGATCACAAAGAAGGTGGAGAGATATCTAATCAGACCTGCAAACAGCTGGAGTCCCTCCCCACCTGGAAAGTAGGACCTGTCGCAGAGATGAATTCCCCATGTGGGTTCTGGGGTCCCACTTGTTCGGTAAAACAAGAATAGATCCACTGCCTCTCCAAAAAGCATGTCGAAAGGGTCGACTAATTGGGGGTTTCCTCCAAGGCCGGAGTGCATCTGCCTGAGGCAAGGAACCAACAGTGTGCTTACAAATAAGCACGATCTTAAAAAATGGATGCACATGCAAAACTTAAGTCCTAGGACAAAACCAAAGTCCAGAAATGGATGAGCAACCAGGACTTTCTGCTGGGGTTTACACTGGTGAACGCAAATGACAACAAAGGTGAATGAATGTGGGTTATGTCTGCAGCAGTTAACCTAAAGAACTCAGAATTTTTGAAGGAGAAAAAAAAAAAGTGGATTCAAATATACATGAGTACCTGACCAGAAGGCAGCAGTTCTAGCACCTGTGCCCTCATTCTTGACTTCCTGGTTGTCACTTTGACTAATTCTCTTCATTAATGGTGATATTTTAACTCTTTTGCTATGTAGAGCTTTGTAGATCATTATGATGTGGAGAGAATGGTACAGCTAGAAGAACCAGGGGATTGGGCCAACACTTTGCCTCTTAGAGGAGAGACAAGTTGGACATATAATCCAATTGCAACTTCGCTGCGTGGGTTCCAGGGCCCCATTGTGGGGAAAACAAGGTTCTGGAACAAGACTAAAGTTCAGAGGTGGGATGAACACAAAACTTTGCGCCTGAGTTACAGCCGGTGAACGCGAAGAAGAAATTACTACTGGCACCATGAGAATTAATACTTTATGCTGGCAGCTGAAGATCAGGACTAAGCGTGGATGAGAATGTCCTGAGTTTTGTGATAGCAGTTCTTGACTTAACTCAGCTTTCCTGTGTTGATGCAACAAGTTACAGTAAAACTGTTTGCTACTGAAAACATGAACCCTTTTACTGGAAGCAGCCATGAAGTCAGCACATCTGGCAGCTTTTCAAGCACATAAATGCTGCCTACCCAGCATTTCCCAAAGGTCTTGGGTTCAAATCTGCAGCTTTACGGATTTGTATGCAATTAATTTTGACTGCCACCTTAAAGTAGTTTAAATTGGGCACGAGGAAATTTTTTGTGAAGTAAATATGTCTGCATGATGATGACCAAATCTACTGAATGTTAGTTGGTGTATACAAAAAAGAGCCTAGTTATTATACCAGATGCGAGAAAGGCATGAAGAAGTCACCCCCCCCCCCCCCCCCTTTTTTTTGTGTGTGTGTTTTTTGTTGTTGTTGTAACTTATTGAGAGAGTTCAAATGGACAAACAACACTTTAACCACTCCACTGCTAAAAGTCATGGGTTTGTAATGAGTTAGTTTAGTTTTTCATGCTAATTGAATGTTTATGTGGTATCATTTATTCAGGGCAAAGAAAGAACTGGATGATCACCTGGTGGTCTGTCATGACTGGACACAGTTTTGTGACAGCCTGGACCAGAAGAAGCTCATCCAGGCTCCCTTCTGTGGGGGAATAGAGTGTGAGGATAACATTAAGAAGGACAGTGCAAGGTAAAACATTGTCATTGAGTGAGATATGTTTTTTCTGGTTTGGTGGGCCATTGTTGAAAGCATACAGTTGAAACGCTGCATGCAAAATATGGATGGTGATTATTTACCATTGCCATTATCTTCCCCTTTTGCCATCTAATAAACCACTGGAGTAATATTTGGTGGACTAGTGCTCTGTGGGAGCATTTGGGTATAGTTATTCAATCTGAGTGTACAACGCAAGATGCTTTGTGATTTTTCATGGGAGCAGCGTGTAATTTGGTTGTATTCAATCGGAGTGGAATGATGATGAAGGATTTGGCAACCTTGAATACACTGTACTCGCAGTGTTTTGATCGCAGTGATCCACTATCTGGGAAGACAAGACTCTCGACAATGGGGGAATCCAAAAACTGTATATAGATTAAACTCACTAAAAGCTGTCCCTAGAAACGGAATGTGTCAAGCATTTTTTTTTTAAAACATGGGTAGGAATTGACACATGCAGCTACCTCAATAGCTGTGGTTATTCCATGTGTGTGTACAGTGTCTCTAACAATGTCATTTCATCTTCTCAGGTGTTTTCTTGCTCATATTTCCAATTTCTGTAAGTGCAGCCTAGCGATGCGGCTGTAAATCCTCAGGTCTGAATACCCCCCCCTTTCCCGCCTACACCGCAAAAGTGATCAAATAACGGCAGTAATTGGCAGTAGGTGCAGCGCCTGTGCTATAACTAGTTGTGCTGCATTTTAACACAATGTCCATATTATACATTCACTGGGCTGTATAAAATAATTTCTATACCACCTCATGCTAAAATATATAAATACAAAAGCAGCTTAAATAAGTGGAAATTTAACCCCAGTTGACCTTGCTGAGAAGAGTTGAGTACCTACTAGGACGGTACTGAGAAGAGTTGAGTACCTACTAGGACGGTACTGAGAAGAGTTGAGTACCTACTAGGACGGTACTGAGAAGAGTTGAGTACCTACTAGGACGGTACTGAGAAGGGATGAGGAGGGGATGTTGTTTGGAAAGAGTCCTCTTTCAATAAATCTTCTTCTTTACGTCCTCTTTTACCGCTTCGGGTGTCGAGGGAGATACAAAGGCCCTGCTTCGTGCTCTTTCTGGCTGCTTTGTACTATAATCACATCATGGTGCTGTAAAGTTTCTCTGATGTTATCTTCCCATCTTCAGGAATTTGAAATGCTGGTGTTTTTTCTCTCTCCTTTTTGTGTGTGTGTCCCTTCCTCAGGATCTTTCAGAAATGGGGCATTGTCAAGTCATTCCAGACAATGCTTTTACAGCTTGGTTGGGCTTTAATGAGGTGATACTATTCTGCAGTGTCATTGACATCTGTCTGAGGCTTTGTCTCAGGAGAGGTAAACAAAGGTAGCGCACAGTGTCATGATATCTCTCTCTCTAAGTCCCACGCATCATATGTTAATAGGTTCGTACCTAGGAGCCCACTGAATGCAAGATGCGCCAATTTGACCTCTTGGCCTCTGATGCTAAACCTCCTGGGATTCAAAAAGTTAATTTTGACTCCAAGTTCTGGCATGCAGGTCATGTTTCAAAGATCATGTACCAGGGAAAAGTGTTTGCATCTAAACAGGACGTAAACCATTCTGAATATATACCAAAGCGAACATGTACTAAGGTACCACTGTGTTCTGTACCATCTCCACAACAAAGGTTGGCTACAGTGTGACCCTTTGATGACTTTGGGAACATTACGTAGTGAGGTCTCTATCACTTCAAAGGTCAGACTTTCATACTATTGTCCAAAAATCATGCGCACGTTTTTTTTTAAAATTATTAAATAAACCACCCTATGAATAGAATCCTAGTTCTAGAGGGTTGTGAAATTGTTGAATGCATTCACTAAGCCAGGGCTGTTTGACTGGCTGACTGTGGAGGCCTAGCAAGTGGCCCGTGGATCATTGCCACCTGCGTTGTATTAATATTTCTATGCTGGGGCTCAGGTTTTTGGCGTCTGAGGATCCCCATTTTCAGTATTTGGGCCCTGAGTCAGCTTAGTTGAATAGCCTTGTTCTGAGGTATACCACACCACATATGCCACGCAATAGATTGAGCCATGTCTTCTTTGCTTACATTTACAGCTGCCAAACATTGCTTTGTTATTTTCGTTTTTTTTAATAGTATTTAACTCACACACACACCCCTCCCCCCTCCTCCTCCGCCAAAGAATACATAGCTACTGAAAGGAACATAACTTCGCCATAATAGTAACATTCAAAATCTTTTTAATTAAATGGGTGAAATTGTTCCTTCTGTGTCATCGATAGTTCTTAAGCACAGAGCTGTTCTGTCAACTGATAAAAAATATGCCAAAACTTATGTTTTTTTTTTTTTTTAAATATGATACTTTTTTTTAATGTTTGCTTCACGCTTCACTTTTGTTGTCTGTGATCTCTTTCAGAGATGTGGTAGTTGATGAAGGAGCCCCAGCTATGGGTGCCAAGGGTCTCTGCATCCCATTCAAGCAGCCA